CAATACAATTCTTCTTCTTCCGGCCATATCCCATTTTCATATACAATGATTTTTAAAAAAATTGGTACGGTATGGGCAGCTTTTTTTAAAGTACTTTAGTGTTGAAGAGAATACTTACATTAGAACGAAAATGTAAAAATGTGTTGCATAAAATATATTTATATATTTTTAAGTAACTATACTAACATAATCGTCTTGTCTCGTGGTTGCATGAACTCATCCGCTTTAAAGTGGAGACAAATTCAGAAAATTGTGCAGTGTTGTGTAGGTATGGGATTATTGTCAGCCATGCATAATGGCATATGTGACGATTTCTCATACTACAACGTACACTTGCTGGAAAATAAAGTGCACACTTCGTTTATTTATTGATAATATATTCTCATAACGTTATTACTTTGATCTAAATTTTATTGTATAGAATTTGTTTTTCAAGTAATAATTAATTATTTAATGTGATACTTAATTATTTTATTTGTTATACTTTTATTTTGTAGCACTTGTCAGGTAATAACACTCCACTTAATTCTCTATAGCTCGTAAAATTACAACGTTGTAACATTACATTATATCAATATTTATAACTGTTTGTGTGTGTTGTGCTTTAATTTCCTCAAAACAAGAGGAGTTAGAGGGAGAGAGTTTTAGTTTTTTCTACTTACTACTATATTCTCTTTTCATTCAAAATTGATATTGCAGACGAGACAATTTCCATAGGAATGGCAACGTATCTTGGGATATATAAGGCAATCCGTTAACGTTAAAAGTGCTATGTATGTAGCCAATGGTATCTATTTTTTGTCATGTGATTTTCAGTTAATAAGTTATTCCTGTTGCATATATAAAATAATCAATTTCTAAATTAAACACATAATTTGTTAGATTTATATATTTTCCACAGACTACACTGTTTTTGGCACACACTGTAATTCTACGTCACGTGCGACTATCGAAGCATTATCGATGCGTGACGTCATCAACGATCCTACTCTATGATCCTAAACACTAGCCATTTGTCAGGCCAGCTAGTATGCAACTAAATTGGATTCTTATTATTTTCCCACAATACGGAATAAAAAAATACCACTTATGTATATCTAATTCGTAATAAGATCCTAAAACGGTTGTTTATCATCTATAAAAAAAATCACTTTGTACAAATGACTCATTTTTAGGCCTCATTTCCCGAACTTCGAGACTGCTTCCAAATTAAACTCTTAGATCTACTAGCAATGAACCTAACATAATTATATCCCAATCCTGCTCAGTGGGGAAAAGAGGGTTGTCAGTAATGTGTATGAATAACCCCATTGCTAGCAATGACCATGTCAGATTGACCTCCACACGGTTTCTTTTGGAAATCATCTTGTTGAATTTCTTGTGAATTTGCCACGATGGGCTAACTGACCTGACTTCATACTCATCTTATCGTCCTCCTCTGGCATCCTGCCAGCATATACCGTTAGCGCAGGCGAGAGCACCATTCCATTATCATTTCAAAAAAAAACCTGCTCTGTATTTATTTTCAGTACATATCGTTCCAGCTGTATCTCACAAATATTATCTCAAGTCAAAAATACATACAAATAAAATGCAGGACAAATGCACAATCAATCTGCAATGTCATTATCTGGCGAGATCTTAAATAGGTGCATTATCTAGGTGCGTGACATCTTGTCAAATAGACTAAGATCGAGTGGTTTATGATTAAACAAGAATACAATATTGGACGGCCTCTGTGGTCTAGCGGTTTAGTACGGTCGCGAGTTTGATTTCTGGTACATTACAAAACATTTATATTCAGTAGTATAATTATTAGTACCTATCTGTCTCTGTGTTTCATATGTATATAATGTATATTCAAAAGTGCTTATATTAATTTTATTTGAATAAAGATTATTTCTATTTCTATATTTTTACAAAAAAAAATCAGTAGTCGAGTGCTCATAACACAAATTTTGCTTAGCTTGAAACTAGACGGCACTGTGGAGGTCTGAGATATTATTATACTTACTGTACTATACAGTAAGTACAGATGTAGGCTACTACCAAACTTTTTTTTTTTTATACTACTATGGTGGCAAACAAGCATACGGCCCATCTGATGGTAAATGGTTACCGTAGCCTACCGTAAACTATTTGCATTTTCTATTTCTTCTTAATATAAAATATTCATATTCGTGTAAATTTATTTTATAAACATTATTTTCCGCTTCAGTTACAGTGTGCTTCTGTAGGTACGATTACCAATCAATGAACTATCCTAGTACCTAACTAAATACCTAAGTAAACAAAAGACGATATTCTTGCTTTTACAAATTTAACATTACATACTTTAATATGATAAATTATGTTCCTATCGTAATACGTATAAAATGCTCTACAGCAGGGAATGCATACTCTTATGTGTTTAAATAATTCCTTTAATTGTAATTAATGAATATATTATAATTATGTATTATGTCGACATTAAAAAAGAATATATTTTGCGCCCTCTAGCCATTTTCTGCAGAACTAGCGATATTCGTTGTAATACAAACTGTACGTACCGCCATCTAGGGATTTATACAAACAACTTTTGTTTTTTTGCTCTAGTCGTCGTGAGTTTCCGTTCCTGGAATTAATAATATACTACAACATTGATAGATGGCGCTTTACTGCAAAATAAAATTATTTATAATAGTTTCCAATTTTGTAATAGATGGCGCAAATACTAATAGACTTTGCTTCATACATATATACTAGATGGCGTTGATAAAAACAAAAATTTATTATTCGAATTTAAAAAAAAAACAATAATATTTATATCTTATATTTGTGTTAAGAGGAAAATATTTTTGTTTATTTTAGCACTATTTCTTTACTTTGCTTGTTACGCCTTAAGCCTTTGGATTTTGGATATTCGATTTACGCCTTTTAGGCTACCTTCAAAAGTAGTATCATACTTGGGAACATCTTGTTTTTTTTTTAGTTTAACATTTTCGTTTTTCATTTTGTGCTTTATTTATTTTAAATTTTTTACGTATTTAATTTGTACCTCCAAGTATCTCACTTACATAACTATACCTACTTGGTTTCCCTCTCTGTATACTAAACTGAAACAGTGCATGAATGTGTGCGTCATGACTAACTAACATTAATCGATAAATTCCTGCCAGTATTCGGTGACAATTACTTACACGATCGTTCGAGAGAAGTGCTAGAGGTATTTCAATCAAATCATACACGCCTCTATGTCAAAGACATACCTTGAACGCAAGTGCGTGCAATTAAACGGCATCCGACAACGTTTGACGAGTTCAAATCTGTGTTGAATCGCTATTTCTTTGGTTATTGGGATACCATAATAAAACTATTATAGAAATCGACACTAAAAATACAAGTATCTATTTTTAGATGTTACCATCAGTAACTGTTAACCATTAGATAGGCCGTATGCTTGATTGCTACCGGCGATAAATATAAATGAAGCACTAACAACGAAATACAAAAACATTTCAATACTAGTATTTTTTATTCTATCAGAACGCAGACTCATCATAAGAAGAATGAGCAAAAACTTGTGTGTTGCGTTTTTGAATAGACTTTTCTTTTAAATAATTACTCAATAACAGGTATAAACTCTCGTGTTAGCATTCTCTACCAATGAACTTTGAGAGTGCATAGATACAATAATGAAATGATATATACTCTCAGTGTATTTTGTCACAAAGTAACAAAGAGAACATCTGAAAACAAGCTTTGAACTTTACATACGAATTTGATCACGTGACTAAAGCTTGTTTTCTTTTATGTAATCTGAATGAACAAGCTGACGCGACGGCCCACCAGCCGATAAATGGTAACCGTCGACTTGAACAACACTACGGATATGACTTCCAAATAAAGTGGTATTTTTTTTTAACGAAACATAAAGACATTTAAGCATTTTTTATTCCTTGCTACTTTTAACATTTTCTTGTTTTCTATGTATATTATGTATGCATTTATATCAGTTGTCTAGTACCCAATACTACAGATAAGATAATACATACCAATACACAAGCTCTGCTTAGCTCATGGCTATGGCGTTCTGTGAATTGTTCTGAGATATTATATTATTATTACTGGCTGCTAGTGTTATCTGTACATATGTATACAGTCATACATATATTTAATTTTACAAGTGGCATTACCACATTGACTCCAAGTCTACATTATTTCGCTCTCCACCAATACTTGGGTGAAGCATTCTTGAGAGATTCGAGTGGGCCTGTAACGAAATGAGCAGCATTCAAAGCCACTTAGACGTTGTAACAAACCACTCCTGACATTCTCTGAGATATTTTCTCTTTCAATTGGTACCCTCTTTGTGGAAAATATAAAAAAATTGCAGATTCCTACCCGTCTACCAGTATAATTCTAATATTAAACTGTTTTTTTCGTAAATCCGACTTCTTTTTTTATAAGACAATAAAATATTCGTTATAAAGAATCATTTAAGTCAGTTTAGGCTCACATCTCAGACTCAGACGTAACATCACATAACATAAATACAATATATTTGAGCAATACCTAATAATAAGGTAATAAGAAAAAAAGGGAATTTAAAAAAAATATCTTCAACATCGATAATAATAATAAGCCTTCACATATCTTGAATAAGTTTCCACTTCTGATAGTGACGATAAAGACTTCATAACTATGGGTAAACATAATAATCAAGGTTAAAAAAAGTATATTAATCTTGGAATTTCTCTTAAAATTTATAATTTTTAAATTTCCAAATAAAAAAAAAATAAAAACAATTCATTGAGGCAAAGGTTCACTGACATGCATAAAGTTCAAAAGAGGTCATATAGCTTAGTGACACATGCTAGTACAGGCACATCCTATAATTGCTATTAAAAATAATTTAGAAAATATTATTTCAAATTTAGAACGCGCATCGTCATAGAAACAAAAATAACAATAGAAATTCGGAGTAAAATAAACGAGTTTGACGGCATCGCCGAGGTTTATTTGTTACAAAAAATAATTGAATATTGCAAAAATAAATGATGTTTTCCGACGAGGAAATAAAAGAAATACCAGAGAGCACTTTCATGAGACCGGGCGACGAGATAATAAGGTTCACGATCTTCCATTATTTTGTGAAAAAAGTTTAAATCTCCGCCATATTGATTTATATATTTTCCGTTGTCTGGACGGTTGTGTTTTATTTTATATTTATGTGAAGTTTTATCGGTCGTTGTGTTTTAGCATCCGCGAAGTGTGTCTGAGTGACAAGTTTGACAAAAAGGATTTGGGATATCGTAACGAGCCACTTCTGTCTACTACTGCCACAAGTGATGTATGTTTCACATTGTTTTAATTAATAGTGATGTTTTTCCGATATTTAGATATTTATTGAAGTACATTACTGATTTACGTAATTTATAAAATAAAACGACTTTAATGAAATGTCTATATTTTCACAAAAGTATCAGATTTTTAGTTCGTTTGTAAATAGTTTCTTAATTTTCTAACATAAAGATGGGCTATTCCCGCAGTATATTCATACAGTCATAAAAGACATAATACATATATTTGACGGCGTAGTCTAGCGGTTTAGCATGCCGCCTTTCTTCTGATGGTAGTGGGTTCGATTCCTCGTACGGTACAAACATTTGTATTCCTGAGTACCTATCTATGATTGTCTGAGTATTTGCTATGTATATTGTGTTACAACATTTGTTTACAACAAAAAAATGTATCTATTTATTTATTGTATTTGTATTAGCTGTCTAGTACTCATGCCACAAGTTCGCCTAAGCGTGGGACTAGCGAGCTGTGTGAACTGACAAAAAATATGGATGTACTCGTACATAATATACAGCCGTCCCTTTTTACCAGTTGGATGTTTCCCGTTCTCTCTTCCGCGATGGTTTCTTTCCGGAGAATACGGCGAGATTTGCATGGACTGAAGAAGATGGAATTATTGCCTCTTTCGTGTCTGGACCACCGTTTAGCCTCGAACAGGCCAATTTCTCAAAACACTTAGAAAAGGAGTTGAAGAATGATATAAAGGTATTACATTGAATTCTTTATTTTAATTAATATGGTATAATGATTATCATAGCAATCCATAAAAAACAAATGGACAATGTTAAAAAGGAAGTCAAGTTTGTGAATGGGCTGGCAAACTTGCACTACAGATTAACCACAATTTTTTTCACATCACAAAGGTTTTCATGAGAGTACCGCGTGGAGGTCGATCTGCCATACTTCTTAGTTAGTAATTGGTATGGCTGCTAAAAGCTGAAATATGACAGCACCTATTTGACCAATTATTTCTATGTATGTAAATGTAAGAAATTTTATATAAAAGAAATTATTTTAAAAGTAAAAATGCACTGTAAAGATAAAACAGCTGTGACTGCCCATAGAGTTTAGTATAATATTTTAATTTTGGGTTATTTGAAAATTTTGAGTTTTTAAGTAATAATAATAACTTTATTCATTACATTTTTTACAATATTTTTTAACAAAATCTTTTCTTTCAGATGGAAGCTGATACGTCGAGTTCATTTCAAACCACCAATCGTAACGGCATAACGTTCGCTAAGAAACCCGGTAGTGATCCCCAGCTTGTTACTTCTACGACCCCAGCTAATTCAGGAACCGGTATGTTATTCAGCAATCTAGTATACCATATTAGGTATATATTGTGTCATTAGTTTTCACTATGGTTCTAGAAATGTTATTTAGGGTTACAGTTCTAAAATTTTAATGACCAAATTATTAAAAATTAACCACAATAACCGAAAAATGGTTACAATTTGACCAAATTTCTAGATTTTTCTTAAATGCCCACAATTTTCAAAGCTGTCAAACCTGTCACCCCGTTTCCGCTCAGCGGTAAGTTCTGGCGCATCCTGTAATAATACAGGTGCCCCAGAATATACGCTTAGAAATTGTTATATATATAAATATATAACAATTTCTAAGTTACTTTTGTATTATGTAATCCATCAATCCATTACAGATCGTGGCAAAAACGGTCAAGGTCCATTTAAGGTGGACAAGGCAGATCCTCGCTCCAGATTTCATTTTGTCAAGTACGTGAAGAGACACGGTCGTACTGTCAAGTTGTGGGAGTGTGGAATGTGTAAGTTGAGTTTTACCTGAACTTAGCTTTTGTATATATAGACGACGGTTACCACCATCTGGTGGGCCATAATTTTTTTTTATCATTCCAGTTACATAAAAAATTAAAGAAAATTGTCCTGCAGGTAGTCGAGAGTTTCAACACCAGTATACTCTAATGCGTCACCTTCCAACGCATACTGACGAGAGGAACTTCCACTGCAGCGCCTGTGGCAAGAGTTTCCGTCAACTGTCCACCCTCAGTCAGCATCGTGCCATACATTCTGCTGAAAGACCTTATGCTTGTGAGGTTGGTGTGCTCAAAGATTTTCTGTATTATTTTATATATTTCTTAACCACCTTATGGTTTGTAAATAATTACCGTCGAGAATTCACGCAATCTAGTCCCAAGCTAAATATAATTATTATAGGGACTATAGAACTGATAGTAATACTTATTTTTTCGTAAAAGCGCACGTGATATACAGAGAAAACAATCACAATTGACAGCCTCGTGGTCTAGCGGTTTAGCACACCGATTTACTGCCGATGGTCGCGGGTTCGATTCCTCGCATGGCACAATGTTTATATTTTACGAGCAATCGAATCCGAGACCGTGGGAAGTAAAGCGGTGTGTCAACGAAATCATCGAGGCTAAGAATATGTAAAATTAAATAATAATATAACTTTACGACTGTAATTGTAGATGGTGTATTTAGAAGTATTGTCAACTATACTTATACATGTTCCTAATATTCAGGTATGCAATAAGACTTTCAATCGAGTCTCTACCCTCATCTCTCATCGCAAGACTCATTCTGATGAAAAACCCTACAGGTGTCATATTTGTCCTAAAGGCTTCCACCAGAAAGGTTACCTCTAGTATTTTTAATGATTTTAATCATATTTATATTATTTAGTCTTTCAAGTTTACCAAATTTAAGTATGTATGTTAAATTACTAGTAAATATTATAGTGACAATGACAAGTCATTACATCATATTTACGATACTATGTTATTTATACAAAGTTGCCTGCCTCTGTATCGTCTACTTCAGTCGCCAAGCGTGCTTTCTAAGACGTGTTTCCGTTGAAGAATTAATAGTTTCCTTATATTCATTATTATATTATATTATTTATTTATATATTCCCTATAAGGGGAGATAAAGCAATGAAACTACTGGGTACGGAGATATGACATCGTAATTCTTCAGGATGGATCACGGTCGATCGCTGTACGTCCCATATATAGGCGATGGTTACCACTTACCATCAGGTAGATCGTTTGCTATTTTAATTACAATAAAAGATACAATTTTTAATTTTCTTCACTAGACATCAAATAGTTAGAAACACTGTGAAGAATTTTCATTTTATTGTCAGGAAACTTGCGCAATCATCTATTCACTCACACCAACGCACGGCCGTATCGTTGTAACATCTGCCTTAAAGGATTCAACCAGCAATCAAATCTTGTTTGCCACAAAAATAAGGTGAAAATGCTATTTATACAAATAAATTGTAGTAATATTGTCCCTTAAATTTTTTTAAAGTGATTAGTGATTTAAAGTGAAGTGTGACAAAAATAGGTGTTGAATAAATTCACAGTTACACAGTCTAGAGTGTATACAATATTTGTTACATGACCTTAGTACAGCAAGTTCATATTCTTCAGTAACCGCTTACCAACAAATTATTTTAATCAATCTTCCTAAATTAGACTTGTTGTCATATTGGTGGACGTAATGCCTATACGTGAGAATACACTCGTTTTTGTTTTTATTTTTAATTCAGACCAAATGGCGAGGGATCATAATGCATAACAACATTAAATAATATAATGTGACCTGGTTTGGAGAATCACAAAGTTGTTCCTTATCCTTATTATAATAGAATATTAAATATTTATCCTTCGTGTATGTAGATCTGTATGCGATATACGTACTATTTATTTAGGCACATCCTGATGATGACTGCTTCACCATTGCTCCTCAAAATAGAAGTGCTACATATCCCCCGCCCTTGAATACCGAGAATCAGTCGGATTCTACTAGGTAAAGCAAATATTATTTATCTTTTATGTTTAAATACATTACTATCGATAGCTGTATTATAAAGCTTATATAAAAGTAGTATTTGGCGCTTGTTACAGGGCTTCAATTGGTTCGTGTATTTTTTTTCAATTATTTGTGATTTGTTTTTGTAGTCACTTCTTACGATATTCAAGAGATAAATAATAGAAAGGAGTAGAGTCACATCATATTCTTTCGCCATATAACCTCACATATTAGTCGAGATTTATCATGTAAGGATCATAGTTTATTAATCCTTTTTGATAAATTAAATCTTTTTTGATCTAAGACAGTTAATTAGTAAAAGCAGTAAGTTAATTTTAACATTGGTTTAGTTTTATTTACTTTAGCTTATGAAATTATTTTTATTTTTAGTTAATAACATTATTTACATTATTGTCTAGATCACCACCTGACCAATGTGAAGTCACTTCCTCTGTAGGCCCTTATTTACCGGCAGTCGGAGGTCCGTCCACTTCCACATGGAAACCTTGGGAATTTTCCAAACCTCTGTCTGAATCTGGTGATGTTTGGAATGATGCTGCATGGAGTTCTACAGGCAATGGTGTGATTGTGGATCCTATAAAAACGTATCATATGGGAGTTGCTCTAGCCACCAGGCAAACACCATTTGCTTTACTCAAACCTGAAAACAGCACTCCGGTTTTGGTTAAAGTGATTGATACGAAGCTTCCTGGTGGGAAACAGGTACTTATCTATACCGAGTAAAGCTTTTAGAGTTTACTAGATTATTGAGATTTTGAAAACAAGGAACCTTGTTTCTATTGATGAAATGTTCAGTTTTATATATCTAGTTATGTTTTGTCTTTTAAAAGAATAGCAATCAAGATCTAGTCAATTAATTTCAACAAAAAAGAAGTAACAAAACTATAACGTATCTAAGTGTTTTGTGTATTCTTTTGATTTTATTTGTCCTACTTTGCGTTTAATACATATTTGGATGTTTAATAGATGTTGGTACCGGCTACAGCGAAGGATTTAAGGGTCGGTGGAAAAATAGTACTGAATAATGAAGATAATTCCTCAGTAAAGGTACGCATTTCTGTGTGATCTCATCTATGTTAATGGCTTAACCTATTTTTTATTAAATAAAAAATAGAAAATACTGCTACTTTTTATACTCTTGGGTGATTACAGAAGCTATCCAAAAATACTTAATATGGAAAAACAACGTTTTCTAGGTCCGCTAGTACTTTGATATAATTAAGAAATTTCTTAATATATTAATAACAAAATTTTCCCGTGTAACCTAAGTAAGCACTACAAAAATTATTTCTAAAAAAACTAGTGGGGGTGCTACATCGTGGCACGAAGATACAATACCAATATTTGTGAACAGGAAGGAGATACCACAGTTGATCCAGAAGTAGCTGGTGCTGTGCAAATAAGAGTTCCGGTGGTCGCGACAGTGGTACCCAGGTTCCAATCTGGTGGTAGACTGCATCTCGCCGTCGAGGAGCCACATCACGCATACCACACCGCTCTTTCTACTGACGGTATGAAACATATAAGATATACGATATATGAAACATATAAGATTAAGTACTAGGAATATACGAATGCGAATATGTAAAATTATATATATGTGGTCTTTTTTATAAGCTTATTATTATTACCTACGAAATTATTTAACTTTTGGGATAAAAATATTTCTATTCCAAAAACTATTATTTTTACGCTACATATGAGTTTTATGTCATTATCACTCTCGTTATGATTTTTTTATAAATATATTACTATTCTCTCCTTTACAGTAGGTCCAGTGAAACTAGAACCGTGTACAGGTGAAGCCGACTTTTCAATCTCAGCATCCTCCAGTGCATTGACAGACTTGGATCCACTCCGGACGACCGCCCCATCTGTTGATTTCCACGATTCAGTACTAAAATCAGGTATGTAATCTGTGACATCGAGATTATCTGTTCGATATTATATTCTGCCTGCTGCACTTCGCAGATCTGCATATGCTGATAATGCAGTTGTCTATAAATATTTTTTAATAAAAATGGCCTCTTCTATATATATATTTTTTTTGATTAATAGAATGGGATACTAAAATACTTCATTAATTTCATTGACTGCCTCGTTGGCCTAGCTTATTAGCACACCGCCTTACGCGATGGTCGCGGATGGTTCAATTCCTCGCACGGTATCAACATTTGTCATGAGTGTGATTGTTTTTATTGATCTGCGTGTTGTTCTACGTATATTATGTACGTATTAAAAAAATAAAGTATATCAAGTCTTTATATCAGTTATCTAGTACTCATAAGCTTAGGTCTTGATGGCGCAGTGTGAATTGTCGTGAGATGTTATTTATTATTATTTTAAAGGTGTAAGGATATCGTCTAGCTGTGCCCTGCCGCCGCCAGCTCCGTCCCCGCCCCTCGACCTCATTTCCATGGATCTGTTTGAACCCATGGAGTGTATACCGATGGGTAGGTATATCTATAAATACAGAATATTATTATTAATTATATAAATTCTCTCTCGAACTTAATGTTATCCCTAATTTATACAGAAATTAGTTTAATATTGTTTTGGGTGCCTGTGGTCACAAATATTCACAATTTCTAGGAACAAAGACGTGGGTGATCGCAAATTTTATTGAACTTGCGTAGCTAATATATGCTTTTATAGGTAATTGAAATGGCAAATATGGTGATGCCTCACCTGATGGTCAGAGGTAACTGTCGGCTATGTACATGAACAGTACCATGGACATCACGTTATCATGTGACATCTTCGATACCACTTATGCTTTGCATATTTGCATAAGAGGCATGACATCTTAATCCTCTGGAATGCCAGAGGATTAAGATGTCCTGCCTCTTATCCTAATAATTTCGCTGCCTAATCTGTACCCTATAACTGAAAAATTGTTTACAAAGTAAGCTAATTGAAATAGATGAAATGAGGTATAATAAGGTATAATAATCACCACACTATGAGTTTTTAGTAATAGCACAGATAACATAATATTACATAGTAATAGATATAACAAAAAAGGTATTTTCCTATTTTATTATTTACCTAGAATCACTCTCAACCATAGAATTGAAATAATATATTTACAAGTCCTTGTGGCATTTGTTTTTTATACCTATGTAGGACCGCAAATAACTGCCGTGGACATTGTAGAACACCCGCCTCCGTCTGATGACTCCGACATATTCATTGGAGAATTTGAAGTGAGTACACAAAATTAACATCTGAAAATAAAATCATTATCTATAAAAAATCTGTATTGGAAGTCATATTAAATATGCTTTGGTCGTACAGTGAATTAGGACACCTTACTTTCGATAATAGCGTGTTGTTCCTCGCACTGTATAAACATTTGTATATATTGTTGATTATGATTGAATTGGTATGGGGTGTTTTCTGATTATTACGTATTTATTTACAAGACAAGAATATCAAGTATTTCTAACATTTAGTTAAGCTCCCATAGTAAGTAGAAGCTCTGATTAGTTTGTGACTAGAAACGCTGTGCGTTGGTTATTATTCTTGTAATTTAATGCAATTGATTGGTTTTAGCCGTTAAGGCATCAAGAACAAATTCATTTTTATATTTATAATAATAATAATAATATTAGTAAGGCATCTCTGCTTTTCAGATCGCTCTGCTGTCTGGTTCTTTTTGTATCATTAAAAACTTTTGAATTATAATTCATAATAATATTATTAATTATTATTGTTATTTATATTAATGTATTATATCACATATTGGGTTGAATATGAACTATAAGAACGTAATTTAGAATTGTAAAGGAATAATCAATGTTTATTTTGCAGGACAGTATCGCGCTATCGGATTCAGATTGAATTTTATTTTAAAAGTTTATTTATATTGTTTATTTTATTTTTTTGGTTTGAAAATGTTTGAAGAATTACCGGTTCGATTTTAGTTATAAGTGAAAATGAGTTATGTTTGATAATGTTAATAAATTATACTATTGTATAAATTTACTTTGTGTTTCTTTCCATATTATTTACATGCATATTATTATATATACTTTATACGTATATAATAATGATAACGATATTCCCAGGAATATCGATTATTTCCTGTACCTATATATGTATAATTATTCTCGTACGTGTATACCAGCCACAAATAAACCGACTTAACTTTTACATCGACCCTCGAACACGCGATTAACGGAAGTAAGCCGGTGTGTTAAACCACTAGACCACCGAGGCCGTCAAATAAGAGGCATAAACAAATAAGAAGCATGCTATCTTATTTTACTGAAATGGCAATTCTAAGGGGAATCTGGTTTTTTATGTAGGTGATAAAACACGCTGTTCACGTATATAGTTGATGGCTACTGCTTACCATTAGGTGGGCTGTGAGCTTATTCACCATTTCAATTACATAAAAAAATACATCCATACGAAGTCGTGGCTATTCCCTAGTTTATTATTATTTCTCAAATATATAGGATATCATTACGAATTCGAGTATAAAAGTACTCCCTATCCTTAGAGGAGGTAATTTCCTGTGTGCCGTGTCAATAATCCGATATTATGATGTTGCGATGACATCGCTATTATATCGCAGTATTGTCGTTGTCATATCGTATGGTTATCGGCACGTGGACGGAAATAGGCCCTTTGGGGCGGCACTGAGCAGTTGTACAACCCTAACGCTTAGTTGTCGTAATCAACGATAGATGGCGTTAGTAGTAGTGAAATACTTTAAATATTAAATTTACTTATTATTCGTCGTGAGTATAATTCTACTATTTCTAGATTGATTAAGAAGATATATAACAAAACAACTTAACATAAATTTCAAAATAATTCTCACTTAATTATACACACTTATATTTATATACCTACAAATAAATAAAATAATCTACAAAAAATAGTAACTCTGCCAAAAATATATCTCTTGAAATATTATATTATATAGTTCTTATAAGTTTTGTATATAGTCTAATTATTTTAATATACTCAGTAATAGCATTTTGATGCCAGTCTAGTTTCCGTTAACTTTTACATCGGTTGCAATTAGTATTTCAATATAATTATTCGTTTATTAATGAAAAAATATTTGTGCTGTATTTTCCTGGATTAAATAATTAATACGGATAATGCGTAGTTTTTTAATACTCGAATCACAAGTTACATGTGTCATAACAACCTACTGCTTCAGTCAGCTTTTTATATTTTATTATAACCTACATTATTTCAATATAATAAAACATTATCAGAACACTCCCATTAACTACGTCATTATTAAGATTGAATACTATGAAGCCTTTATTATTGTATTGTTGCTACTCAATAACAGATGGCGCCACACGGTGGTCTCATACGTTTCATATTCTACTAAGAAATAATATATTTTGTAAATATTAAAATTAGTAAATACCAATATAATTTATATTTATATAATTATATAATACAATATTTTGTGGTTGTATTTTTGTCTATTTATTTATTATCTATTTTGTTATAAATAAATCATGAGATACATACATACTAAGTATGATATGTAGATCAATTTACCTACAATACCTAAATTAGTATACTTATAACATTTACCATTTTTGTGAAGGTAAAACTATATTAAAATATTTAATAGCTATTTATTCTACAATACCGACGCCTTATAGCGAAACTATTTTCAATGTATCAATATGGAAGTTAATTTTATGGATTGAAAAAAGTATAAATCTAATTCGTATAGCTTATTTTGCAATGGAAAATTATAACCATTAATGCTAGACATTTTTTACCAATTAGAAACTATGTTAGAATTTCATATTTGATTTACAAGTTTTAGTGTCATTGAGAAAAAATATATATTTGTTTAGTTGGTGATGAATAATCATTAAAAAAAATCATTATCTTTACATGTAGGTGTTCCTATCTCAGAGTTGATCATGTAAGCACATTTATAAATCTAGCCGATTTACAACTAATGATCAACCATACGTATAACCACAAGAAATAAAAAAAAATCGCAATAACATTTAATGAGAAGAATGCAACAATAAAACGCGAATTACGCTCGTACAATTTTTTACCAAAGCGCCGCGCGTGTCCGCCACGCGACCGAAAATATTAAAACTGGTGTTAGATGTGACACGCGGCCATTCCCACCAATAAATAGAGAAATCTACTGACAACCCTATTTCAGAAACTTCTACTATTCCATTACACTTATTTTCAAACTTACTACAACCGCATAAGACTCACTATACATTATCGATAACGCTTATGATAAACTTGAGTAATGATCATCGAATTCCTTCTTAAAAGTATAGTGCATAAAGTTGAAGTTAGGTTATAATTTGGGATATTAAAATTAGGGCTGTCGTCAATGGACTTATACCGCCCCCGACGGTTATCGAATAATGCATTGGCACGTGTGGACTGCGTTTTTTATCGAATTTTTATTTCGTGCGAACAGAGAAGTGGCGCATGGCGTCTGGTGCGGACTGGCCGCACAATAGCCATGTGGGACTCTGATGTGGGATAGTAGTATTGAAGTCATAGTAGTATACGATTTATTTTTTTAAATTTTTACATAATATTTTTTATCTTCAATATAATTGTTAATAAAATAATGTAAGATTGTGTTCGCGCTCCACACATAAATTCAATTCATCGTGTAAATATTAATAACTACGAGTAACGTCGATTGTAGAAATTGCTACGTTGCTACGTCAACGTCTACACATTATTACAAGTTATAAAATATATAATTCAGTTGTCTGTGTAAAAATCTTAATATTTAATTTTTTTTTCAAATTGTTATTATTGTTAATATATGTTACGGTCATAGTTTCATTTTATATGCATAAAATATTTAGGATCTCAGGAGAAAAACAGAAAGATTTTATATCATAAATCTATCTTTAAAGTAGGTAGTAGATACTACTAGGTAAAGTTCATGCAATTTTTTTCTACTATCTTAACTGTGATACAAAAATATTTTTTTATATTGGAAAGTAGTACTTTTATATATTATTAGATAAGTTCTAGTACTAGACAATAATTGCACTATGACTTTGTTTTGTTGTAACATATACCTATTTCCCTAAATGATAAGCTTGAAAATATCAAAATATAACCTTATTGCTAATAAATTTAAAGATTATATAGGTATCTAATATGTTGACAGAAATATGTTCGTCGACAGAAGTACCTCCATATTGTACCGAAAATTGAAACTGAAAACTTATTATTTCATTTAATTTCAATGTCAAAAAATTTGATGTGCTTGTGGTAAGTACTATCGACTGCAGAGCGACTCGGCATCATATCGTCACGCTCGTAGTATTTCTCATGCGTTATCATTCTAAGATATAATAGTTTCATCTGTACTCAATAATTTCACTGTTAAGCTTATAAAGAAATAGCTTTATGACTATTTGAAATCTGTAGTTGAAGAGTCTACCTAAAAAAATACTTGTATTAATTAGATAACTGTCGTCAACAAATTAATTACAAACTATTCTTAATTTAAAATACAATACAATAATCCGCAATCAAACTATCAATTGCATAAAATCATTAAAAACAAACAAACACAGGGCGTCGACAAATCCCACTCAATGGTCCAATGCACCCCAAATATAATTTCATATTTTGATTACGATATCAATGTCACCCACTCGCATTGTAGGGTTTTTTATGCCCTTTGTCCGTTAATACACATATTAACCCATTAAGTGTCGCGTGCCGACATAATATAATATTTCATACGTATAATAAAACTATTGTATTTGATATAAATGTTACTTTTTTAATGTGAGAAAAGAATCATTTGGATGGGGCACAAGGAATATGAGAATAAATTATATGTATGTTTATTTTAATTTATTGCCAATGTAATTACCAATTAGGAGGTGTCTACTATTAGATTTAATTAACAATTATCTTAATAAATCATTATTTTAATATGGATAGATAATTACATGCTTATTAATAATATATATATAGATATCTAAATATATAAAGATTTGTTTTTTATTTAGGTATAATAGGGACATGTATTATATTAACCTTATGTAGGTATCTGTTTCGATTACAATATTCTTATTTATACCTAGTATAATATAATTTTGCTTAAAACTAGTAGGTATGTAGATAGATACCTACTCATGTACCTAGTTCAAATAGTACTACAATAATTCGGTACATGACAAATTATTTTGTATTACATTATTATTCAAAGTATACCAATTCTACTATTTCAAAATATTTGGGTTACCTTAACACCTTCAATAATATTTCTATTTTTCAATATCTTCAAATACAATTTCTACACAAGTTGAGATAATGTGACCACGCAAAAATTACTTTTTACAAAGTCTACGATGGTAAAATCATTACCATTCTGCACGAAATATAATTTTACTGTATTACATTATCACCACATTTAAACCTCTAATTTCACTGCCTAATATACAACCAAATACCATTCGATTCCGTCCACTAAGATTTGAGTGAAAGATTAATAAAAATCCATCTTCCCAGACATTTGTAACATTGGTAGACATTGGTTAGGATTTTCTACAGAATATCATTATGTATTTACAATTATTTACGTCTTTATGCGTATTTTGTTATTATCTTTATTTCTGTAACTACTCATATTAATTGCTAAGCCGCATTTAAATATCTCTGCATATCAAAAGATTGACTGGGGGAGAATGCATTACGGCCACCTTTTGTACCTATCATATTTTAGTGGGCAATAAATCAAATAAGTATCATCGGATACTTACATTTATTTTTAAAAAATATCTCATCGCTCTATTAACAAATACAGACTGCGACTTTCCAAAATTAACGATGTTCAACCGTCAACTGCAGAGGAGCGACAGACGCGACACGCGTCCGCCGCATGTCGCGGATTAAAGCGATTGGTCGCGCGACGACTCAATCGC